TTCTTTGATATCCTGTGTTTATACATTTCATATTTAAAATGTATTAAATAGTTTCACTAATTTAAAAGAGTGAATTCTGAATTCCATTTTATAAAACACCAGCATTAATACTAAGTAAGCATTAAAGTTATACTGGTATTATTTTATTTCATTACTGTAATTATTATTTCAGGTAGAAAAAAACCCCAGCATATGCAAAGTTGTAGAGGCATGGAACAACATAATTTGGGCAATTCAAAGAGTCTGGTAGTAGTGGTGGTAGGCAGGCTGTGAGAAATATTCTAGATAGGTGAGTATTTTGCTTCATGGCCTATTTTTTGTTTTTGACTCATCATCCCCATTCTTGGACTTTGACCTTACCATATACCTTCATTAATTTATAGCAATGCTGGGGGCGCCTGGGTGGCTCAGTGTCTGACTTCAGCTCAGCTCATGAATGATCTCATGGTTTGTGACAAAGCCCGCTTTCAATCTTCTGTCCCCCCTCTCTCTGCCCCTTCTCACTCACTTGCTCTCACTCTCTCTCAAAAATAAGTAAACATTAAAAAAAACTTACAGCAACCCAGAGAAAAGTACTTATCTTCTCTTTTTGTTTTCTTATCTGTAAATGAGAACAATGCTAGTGCCTACTTTATAGGATTGTAGTGAGTGGATAACAGTGCCTGTATGGAGGAAAAGATTCCTTTTCTTGTCTGATCTTTTGCCTTACTATGAACTACCTGCTCAGTTGACTCCCTTTCTATTTAGTAAGTAGTAGTCTTCCACAAAGAGATTATTTTTCAATTAGAATTAACCCTAATCCACACTTGTACGCCAATGTGTATAGCAGCACTCTCAACAATAGCCAAATCATGGAAAGAGCCTAAATGTCCATCAACTGATGAATGGATAAAGAAATTGTGGTTTATATACACAATGGAATACTACGTGGCAATGAGAAAGAATGAAATATGGCCTTTTGTAGCAATGTGGATGGAACGGGAGAGTGTTATGCTGAGTGAAATAAGTCATACAGAGAAATACAGATACCATATGTTTTCACTCTTATGTGGATCCAGAGAAACTTAACAGAAGACCATGGGGGAGGGGAAGGGGAAGGAAAAAAAAAGTTACAGAGAGGGAAGGAGGCAAACCATGGGAGACTCTTAAAAACTGAGAATAAACTGAGGGTTGATGGGGGGTGGGAGGGAGGGGAGGGTGGGTGATGGGTATTGAGGAGGGCATCTGTTGGGATGAGAACTGGGTGTTGTATGGAAACCAATTTGACAATACATTTTGTACTAAAAAAAAAGAACCCTAATCCTTCCCAGTTCCATTTATGGTACCTTTCTTGCTACTAGGATTTCTAACATGTGGCCTTCCTTATATCCCTCTTCTGGGATCCATTGCTCATTGACAACATTATGGAGGATGCTAGGAAAATCCCTTTCTCATATGGATGCTTTTGAAATAATCTGATTTAAATATTTTTCTTCTTCTGGGACAGCAATGGGGTTAATGTACTACAAGCATCTGTGTGTTTCTTTCTAGAAAAGAGACCATCTTCAACAAGGGGAAAAACATGTAAAGGTGTTTTAAAAACATGTAAATTTTTTGTTAAAATCCTCTTTTGTTTAGAAATATATTTTCCTGTTTTTAAACTATGCATATTAAATAGAAAAAAAAAATTAGATGTTACCAGTGGCCTGTAACATTAGCCTTGAGAAAAGCAGTATAAGGAGCCAGAACATCTCACTTGGAATGTCTTCTTGGTCATATTAGCAGCATCTTGTCTGTAGATAGTGTTTCCCTCCCCCAGCAAATCAGGAGCCCTGGACTTTTCAGCTCATTGAAGACTTCATGCAGAAAGCAAGAATAAGGGTGGTATCAGGGTATTTCTTGCCCCACGCCCCCCATTTTGTAGAGGATAAAGGCAAAATGAAATTCTTGAGCCAGTGTCTATCTCTTGGTTTTTGAAATTTCTCACTTGTTGTGATACTAAAAAGAAAGGTTGGGCCAAAGAGGGGAGGTAATTCCAATTTTGGCTGATCCGGAGTAGTTCACTTCATCTTATTTTTGATTCCTTTATTAACCCTTCTGGTTATGATATCCTCAAGCCAAAGGTAGTTTACACCTTGATGTAAAGCAGAAATGGAATTGTGGGAATATGGCAAGTAGGGAGCCAAGGAGAGGTTTCTGGAAGAAAGTGGAGGAATCATTAGCCTCTTTTTCCCTGCTGTACTCAGTGACAAACATTTAAGTGCTGTTTTCTACTACTTATAAACCCTTTATTTGGCAACAGACCTGGGTTTTAATCTTGCTTTGGCTACTTACTACGAGTGTGGCCTTGGGCAATGTATAGCATCTCTAACCTTCACTTTCCTCTGTATCTTTTAATGGAGCTAACAACACTGACTTCAGAAGGTTAGTGAAGGTGTAAATGAAGTAGTAGTACATAAAGTGCCCAGTACTTAATAGATTCAATACATCTATTCATTCTTTTGCTCAATTCTTTTTATAGTAGTAGTATATGCCTCTTTGGCCGGTTAAATGAGTCATAAATACATCCTGTGGGTAGGTTGAAACCATGAACTTGTGACTTGATTTTTTTAAGCCAGTGTGAAACATTTTAATGATGCCTCCCTGTTTTTCACCCCCATAGTAGTTGCCTCAGTTAGTCTAAAAAACAACTTTCTAATTTGATGGGTCATGTTTTCAGTTTTAATTCAGATGATTAATTTCCAAACCAAAGGCACACATAGTTGTCATAATTTGTATGATTGTATTAACAATAATGCTAGCATGCAATCCCTATCAAAATAACACCAGCATTCTTCACAGAGCTAGAATAAACAATCCTAAAATTTGTATGGAACCAGAAAAGACCCCAAATAGCCAAAGCAATCCTGACAATGAAAAGCAAAGCTGGAGACAATACAATGCCAGACTTCAAGCTGTATTACAAAGCTATAATAATCAAGACAGTATGGTACTGGCACAAAAACAGACACATAGATCAATGGAATAGAATAAAGAACCCAGAAATGGACCCACAAATATATGGCAACTGACAAAGCAGGAAAGAATATCCAATGGAAAAAAGTCTCTTCAGCAAATGGCATTGGGAAAACTGGACAGCGACATGCAGAAGAATGAACTTGGACCACTTTCTTACACCAGACACAAAAATAAACTCAAAATGGATGAAAGACCTAAATGTAAGACAGGAAGCCATCAAACTCCTAGAGGAGAAAACAGGCAATAACCTCTTTGGCCTCAGCTGCAGCAATTTCTTGTTTGACACATCTCCAAAGGCAAGGGAATTAAAAGCAAAAATGAACTATTGGGACCTCATCAAGATAAAAAGCTTCTGCACTGCAAAGGAAACAGTCAGCAAAACTAAAAGGCACCCAACAGAATGGGAGAAGATAGTTGCAAATGACATATCAGATAAAGGGTTAGTATCCAAAATCTATAAAGAAGTTATCAAACTCAACACCCAAAAAACAAATAATCCAGTAAACAAATGGGCAAAAGACATGAATAGACACTTTTCCAAAGAAGACATCCAGATGGCTAACAGACACATGAAAAGATGCTCCACATCACTCATCATCAGGGAAATACAAATCAAAACCACAATGAGATACCACCTCACACCAGTCAGAATGGCTAAAATTAACAACTCAGGCAACAATAGATGTTGGTGAGGACACAAAGAGGAACTCTTTTGCACTGCTGGTGGGAATGCAAACTGGTGCAGCCACTCTGGAAAACAGTATGGAGGTTCCTCAAAAAATTTAAAATAGAACTACTCTATGACCCAGCAATTGCACTACTAGGTATTTATCCAAGGGATACAGGTGTGCTGTTTCAAAGGGGCACATGCATCTCAATGTTTATAGCAGCACTATTGACAATAGCCAAAGTATGGGAAGAGCCCAAATATCCATCAAGTGATGAATGGATAAAGAAGACTTTGTGTGTGTGTGTGTGTGTGTGTGTATTACCCGGCAATCAAAAAGAATGAAATCTTGCCATTTGCAACAACATGGGTGGAACTAGTGTGTGTTATGCTAAGCGAAATAAGTCAGTCAAAGATATATGATTTCACTCATATGTGGTATTTAAGATACAAAACAGATGAAAATAAGGGAAGGGAAACAAAAATAATATAAAATCAGTGAGACAAACCATAGGCACTCTTTAAAAAAAACTTTTTTTTATGTTTATTTACTTTTGAGAGAGAGGGAGAGAGGAAGACACAGAATACAAAGTATGCTCCAGGCTCTGAGCTGTCAGCACAGAGCCTGACTCAGGGCTCTAACTCGCGGACTGGAGATCATGACCTGAGCCGAAGTTGGATGCTTAACCAACTGAGCCACCCAGGTGTCTCCATAAGGGACTCTTAAATATAGAGAACAAACTGAGGGTTACTGGAGGGGCTATTGGGTGGGGGGATGGGCTAAATGGGCAAGGGGCATTAAGGGGGGCACTTGTTCAGATGAACACTGGGTGTTATCTGTAAGTGATAAATCCCTAAATTCTATTCCTGAAATCATTATTACACTGTATATTAACTAACTTGGATTTAAATTTTAAAAAATAACAATAATGCTAGCAATTAGAGTTTGCTGACAATCCCTTCGACTAAAGTCATTGGTCTAATTGTGCTCCAAAATAAATTACTGCTAGGGATGTTGCTGTCTTCCTTAGAAATGTTGAAAAGCTTAGACTTCAGGCTGCCTGTGTTGGTATCTTTCACCTGTCATTTACTGGCTGTGTTCCTCAGGCAAGTTTCTGGAGCTCAGTTTCCTTATCTTTAAAGTGGGGATTATAATAGTTCTGACTTCATAGGGTTTTTATGAAGTAAATGAGTTTACTATATATAAAGTACTTAAAATAGTGCCTGGCCCACAGTAATTGTTTAATACTTGATTGCCATTGTGATCTTCTGTTCAATAAAATGGCCTAAAACAATGTAGTCTATTTGACCTGACCATCTTCATTCTATTTGTTAGGTTACACACTCTTACACTGTGCTGCAGCCTGGGGTCGTTTGGAAACTTTGAAAGCACTTGTGGAATTGGATGTTGATACAGAAGCTCTGAACTTTCGGGAAGAAAGAGCTCGAGATGTTGCTGCTCGGTATTCCCAGACCGAGTGTGTTGAATTCCTGGACTGGGCAGGTAAGGAAGCCTACAAGGCAGTGGTGTAACTGAACCAACATGAGTTTGTTCCTTGGTGAGTCACATAGAAACTACACCAGGAGAGTTGTTGCACAAAGGAAGCTTTATTTGCAGCAAATTAGGAGATCACAAGGAAGAACTTCCAAAGCTGCGACTCCCCAAGCAAGGGTGAGTGGGTTTCTTTAATTTAGGGTTAAGATGAATATTTAACAAGGGGATCCTTGTCATGGTTTGTAGAGGTGCACATAAGATCCCACATGCACCTTAAGGAAACAGGCCTATACATACGTTGTATGTTATGCAAATGAGGCTCGTGCTCCTCCTTGGGTGGAGATTTTAGTATTATAATAAGGTAAAGGTAGTTGTCAGTCATTCTGGAGGTCACTCTACAGTCCATCTGCACAGGCATGAGTCAGGGGTTATGCTGAAACTAGTCTGCGTGGTCTGGGCTGGCTGGTGGTCTTTCAGGGCAGTTCCTATACTTGAGGGATGGTTTCGGTTTCCATTTGCCTGAGTTAAGAGATAAGCCAGAAAGGAGCTTAAGGAAAAATGTGCAACAGGGATTGGTGAGTACAAGCAAGTGGGCAATGAAGGTCAGGTCTTGGGATCTAGCTAATGACAGTAGCAAACAGACTGAGTGATGGATTTTTTTTTCCTATGAGTGATAGGTTATACCATCAACAAAGCAAGAGATGATTAGCATTTTCACCTTTTGCCACCATGTTTTATTTGTAGATATAATCACAAGTCACTGGTGGTGATGTGTGAAATCTTCCTTTTTTTTTTTTTTTGCTATTTTGCTATTGGCCTCCAACATTGTACTTAATAGAAACTGTACATATTGAAAGCTAGTTGATTGACTAACTTCTAACAATTTCGACAATAATTTCCTATAAGAATATATATATATATTATATATATATATATACATATTATATATATATATGGTTTATGTTGAGGGCCATTTCCTGAGAGACTTAGGTTGAATGGTCCATTCCTCAACTTTTTTTTTAAATGGCATATTTGAGTCATATGTTTGCTTTCCCAGGTAGAAAGTTATAATAACTTAAAATGATTTTCCAGGCAAAATTAATCTATAGTGTTAGAAGTCAGAATAGCAGTTACCTGTCTAGCATGAGGGAACTTCTAGGATGTAGTAATTTTTTTTTTAATCTGGTTGCTAGTTATATGGTGTGTTCGTTTGTGAAAATTCACTGAGTTGTACATTTATAATTTTTGCACTTTTCTGCATGAATGTTAATGCTTCAGTCAAAGGTCAGAAAGCTATGTGCTCTTTTGAATTTTAGCGATATTTTGCTTAATTCATTTTCGCAACCCTATAGAACATAGCTTAGAGATTTCAGGGAGATAATACCTGTGTAACTATGTATGTGTATACACACTGGTTAAAAAAACCCAGTACTTGTGAAGTTCATGGCATTCATTTTGCATAGTTATCTGCAATTTTGGTTTCAGCGAGGATTTATTAAATGCCCACTATGAGCGTAGCATTGTCGTAGGTACAACGGGTTGTTCCTTCCCTCTGGACATTTGTTAGGTGGAGGATGATAAGCTATAGACATAAGTAACAACATAAGAAAGACTATGAGTAAGGGTTAAAATCAGTAGAGCAGGTGGTACATGCTATGGGGTTGTCAGAGAACGTGAAATCTGAACATGTTGGAATTGAGCTAGGCCTTAGAGAATGAGTGGGCTTTTAATCCAATAGAAGGAGACAGGATGTGAGCAAAATCTGTGGGCTGGGAATGAAAGTGGCATTTTGGAGGACAGTGATGAGATTGCCTTACTGGAATAGAAAATCATAATTTGCAAGGGTGGGTTACTGCACAGATGGAATTGTAAAAGAGTAAGTACATGCACTTTTGAATCAAATTGCTTGAGTTTAAATACTGGTGTTTCCACTTGAAACCTATGTGACCTCAGACAAGATCCTTAAATTCTTTATACCTTAGTTTTATTTTCCAGTAAAGGGAGCCAATAATAGTTCCTACCTCTTGGGGTTAGTTGTGAGGAATGAAATGAGATGATATAAAGCACTTACCACAAGGCCTGGTGTGTGATCAGCACTTGAAAAATGCTGGTGCTATTGGAGCACCTGGGTGGCTCAGTTGGTTGAACGTCTGACTTTGGCTCAGGTCATGATCTTACTGCTTGTGGGTTCGAGCCCACGAGTCGGGCTCTGTGCTGACAGCTCAGAACCTGGAGCCTGCTTTGTATTCTGTGTCTATCCCTGGCCCTACCCTATTTGTGCTCTGTCTCTCTCTCTCTCAAAAAATAAAAACATTAAAAAAAATGTTGCTATTATTATAGCCAGATTATACCCTTAAATGTCAGGCTAAGGTGTTTTCATTTCATTTCTGTAACTACTGGGAGCCATTGAAAGTTTGTATGTAGAAAAGGAAGAAGATGAAAGTGATATTTAGGAAGATTCATCTGGTAGCAATAAGGAACTTGCTTATCAGTAAAATGAGAGGGGGAGCTGGGAGAATAGAAATAAGGAATTGAGGCAAGGTAGCACTTTTGGGAAGAAAAAGATGTTATACTTTGTGCATTACTTTATAATTGCCCACTTGTACTAATGTTTTCTAGGGACAATGTTTTTATGAATACCTTCAATTTCATGGTTAGATCTACAAGTAAAAAGAAAACAAATAGCAAAGAATTGATCCCCCATGAATAGCTATTGTAGGTGAAATTCATATTGTATAATTTAAAATCCATTTTTGAAAAATGACCCATGATACTTAAAAAAACACAAACCAGGGACAAATTTTACTGTAACTTTTCTGAAAAGAAACAGTTTGGGGCTTTTGGGTGTGAGCTTCCATTGGTTTTCTTCTTCCTAATACCCATCTGTTTAGTTTGGGTCCTTACATTCTTGGGGGAATTATACCTAATATTTCCTAATAATTAAGATAAAAGAAGACTATAATACTATAAACTAGCATTCTGTTTTCTGATCAGTGATGGAATTGTAAGGACTGGAGCTTCATGGTAATGTATGGGATGTCTGAAACACCAACTACTCAGAGAAACATTTAACATTTGTTTGCTTCAGACTTAATGAGAATTTAAACCACTGCTGTTTCTTGTTCTAGTGACTAGAGTAGGGGTCACCTGGAGAGGCTTAAGGGGTAGAGGACTCCCTATGCTGTCAGATGGACTGGGGAGGACTCCCTGCCCCCCGCCCCCTGCACCGGGACTCTGAGGCCTGTCTAGCCTGCCCAGGGATGTCATTGAAGGCTCTTGACGTCCTCCCAAGAAAGAATTCAAGGACAGACCAGACAACAATCAAGAGAAGCAAGTGGTATAGTTTATTAAAGTGAGGGTACGCTCTCGAGTTGTGAAAGGGGGTGAGCTCAAGGGAGAGCTTTGTGCTCTGGTTTTGGGTCACTGTCTTTTACTGACAATTGTTAACTAGGGGATGGAATATTCAGTACTTGGGGAAGGAATTTCTTGGGAGCAGGGTTTGGCACATTTATTCCTTTACCTGGTTAGGGTTTCCAGCCTTCTTTGCCTTGGGCCTGTGTGGTTTGATTCAGTGTCTTGTAGCTTTGTTTTAGAGTGCCCTTGGGACAGGTCTGTAACTTCCCCTCACCCCATAGCTGGCCACAACTCCCCTTTGCTGGCCTCCAGGCATCCTGTTAAAGCCCAGTTTTGTACTCTAATACCTACCCTAAAAAGAATTCCCTTTATGCTGTTGAAAATTCCACTGTTAGAAATTTCTTTGGAAAGTTTTCGAGGTTTGGAGACTTTGCAAGTGTTCAAGAGTCCCCATTAGAAGAAATGTGTATACATGTTCTCTTAGAAGGAATTGGTTGACAGGTCAGAAGTCTGAAGGGATGGAAGAATCATTTTTGGAGATGTAGGAGTAGGGTTGTGGTACGGGAGAGAGGAAGGAAGGACAGTCTGGAAACTGGAATCATAAGTAAACGTTTAATAATCCACAATAACTCAAGACAAGCACCATCCTATGCCTTGTAAAGACTATAGAGTTATATGTTACTATCTCAAGAATTGTTTTCTAAAAGTTTTTTTCCTCCCTTATATTGATGGGAGGTATGTTATGGAGCTGGCATATTTTTCTGGGGTTTTCAACAGGTTTTAAATCAAATCTTCTGTCCTAGTCTCAGACAAATCTTCCAATTTGTAACCATACTTATAAAAATGAGGTGGCTGATCAATAAAAGTCTGGAATACTTTTTAAAAATTGAGCAATCTTAATCAACCAAAGACTAAAAATTTTTAAATGTTGATACTTACTTCATCATTTGTCGTAATGAAAATGGAGAATTTTATACTGTAAAAAATTAATCCATTTCTTTTTAAAATTTTTAAAATTTGGGGCGCCTGGGTGGCGCAGTCGGTTAAGCATCCGACTTCAGTCAGGTCACGATCTCGCGGTCCGTGAGTTCGAGCCCCGCGTCAGGCTCTGGGCTGATGGCTCAGAGCCTGGAGCCTGTTTCCGATTCTGTGTCTCCCTCTCTCTCTGCCCCTCCCCCGTTCATGCTCTGTCTCTCTCTGTCCCAAAAATAAATAAACGTTGGAAAAAAAATTTTTTTTAATTTGTTCTCAAGTTAGTTAACCTACAGTGTGGTCTTGGCTTCAGGAGTAGAACCCAGTGATTCATCACTTACTTATAACACCCAGTGCTCATTCTAACAAGTGCCATCCTTAATGTCCGTCACCCATTTTCCCCACCCCCCACCATCAACCCTCAGTTTGTTCTCTGTATTTAAGAGTCTCTTATGGTTTGCCTCCCTCTCTGAAAATTAATCTGTTTCTTAATATTTCCATACTATTTTGGCAATATGAGATGGGAAATTAAAAGTTTCCATATGGCCCAAAGATCTGCTCAGAAAAGTAAGAAAAAGCACAAATATTATTTAAATCAGAGATTTATTGAATACTAAAGCAAGATTCTGTTCTACATATTGGTTAATGATTAGCAATCTAACACACTAAAAAGAAAAAAATAC